TCCCAGACAGCTCGAGCAAGCGCAGCAGCAGCAAAAGCCTCGCTCTCAGCAGCGGCAGGGCCAACAGGGAGGGGGTCAGGCGCAGGGGGGCGGGGAAGCAAACCATCAACATGCATAGCCAGGGAGTGCCCATCTTGGCGCTGACCTGTCAGGTGTCGACGGAGGTCAACGAGCCAAGCGGCGAAGTTGATTGCTTGCCCCTCAGCATCCAAGCGAAGAGCGGCGTCCGCCATCTCACAGTGTGACAGCGGCACAGCGGCTCAGCGGCGCAGCGACTCGGCGGCTCGGCGGCGCGGCGGCTCAAGGACACGGCGGTACGGCGGCTTGGCGGCACGGCTGCTTGGCGGCACGGCAGCTCGGCGGCATGGCGGCTCGGCGGCGCGGGTGCTTGGCGACTCGGGGACACGGCGGCTCGGCGGCTCAGGCGACGAGGCCGGCTAGGACGCTAGGGGCCGGCTAGAGCACAAGGGGCCGGCTAGGGCGAGCGGGGCCGGCAAGGGCGCGTGGGGCCGGCTAGGGACGTGGGGGGGGGGGGGGGGGGGGGGGGGGGGGGGAGGGGGGTGGCGGTAGGAGCACGAGGGGCCGTAGGGGCGCGAGGGGCCAGCTGGGGGCGCGAGGGGGCCGGCTAGGGGCGCGAGGGGCCGTAGTGGCGCGCGGGGCCAGCTTGGGGTGCGACAGGACCGTAGGAGCGCGACGGGGCTGGTAGGTGCGTGACGGTGCCGGCTAGGGGCGCGACGGGGCCATAGGGGCGCGACAGGGCCGTAGGGGCGCGACGGGGCCGTAGGGGCACGACGGGGCTAGCTAGGGGCGCGACGGGGCCGGCTTGGGGCGCGAGGGGCCGTAGGGACGCGACGGGGCCGTAGGGGCACGACGGGGCATGCTAGGGGCGCGACGGGGCCGTAGGGGCACGACGGGGCCTGCTAGGGGCGCGACGGGGCCGTAGGGGCGCGACGAGGCCGTAGGGGCGCGACGGGGCCGTAGGGGCGCGACGGGGCCTGCTAGGGGCGCGCGGGGCCAGCTAGGGGCGCGAGGGTCTGGTAGGTGGCGGCACGGGGCGGAAGCGGGTGGGTGGACCTACCTACTCGTGATACCATGTTAAGACTAGAAAGAATGATTAGAAGAAGGGAGAACAGGGGAGATATAGCATTTGGGTTGTACCCACTAAGAACATACCCTATCTAGCCTATAACTTCTACATAACAATATAGGTATAAGTTGACAATCTGGTCCTCATTGTGCGATTCAGTAGTCGTTGGAGTCGACTCAAAATGGATCTGGTCCTCGTTATTGAGCAACTTGGTAGGGCATCAAGCTGGCGCCACTCCTCCAGTGCAGCAACCGAGCCTCTGCAGCAGATTCGGGGGGTGGGGTGGTTAAATTGGGGCAGGGGAGACGGATAAGAGAGGCTAGTATGAGATTGGAGGAACATTTGTAGTCTAAGCGAGATTGGATCATTGGAGGAGTAAGAGGGGTGGCCTGGTGGGGGAGTGTGTTGGTCATTTCGTTTTGAGTCTCGAGAGGAACAGGAGAGGCTAGTATGTGAGCGGGACATTGTATGTGAGGGGGACATAGTTAGTATGTGAGGGGGACATAGTTCTTGCGCAGCTCACGCGCCGATGCGACGGGGGGGTGGGTGTCGTGTGGCTGACCTGAACAACTTCTTCAGCGCCTTACGCGCCGATGCGACGGGGTTGAACTTGCGCAACTTCTTCCCCGCGCACCCCTTCCTCGCATGCGCCACGATCTGCATGCACCCGCCATTGCTATCTTTTACCAATGTGTCATTCTTTTTGGTTGCCGTCACCTTGGTACGCCACGACACTTGCACGAAATTCAACGAATTGGCGAAATTCGCCGGAATGTCGATGCACCGGAGCGCCCTATTGAACCGAACCGCCAGTTGCGGCACATTCGTGTTCGGATTGCCCAAAACCAGCGTCGTCCCAACCTCGCCTTTCGAGCTCACACCCAAAATGGATCCTTAAGTCGACGACCTGCACATTTAGGGTAAACCCCAACCCACGTAACTCAGCCTGTGCCGACACATCCAAACTCCTCGAACATACATCTCCCAATTTCACCGCAGCGCCAGTGTGAGAGTACGACTCCGTTACACCACTTGGCCTTTTCCATATTTCATCTTCATTTCATTCCTCTTTTTATCTCATCTCCTTTTGCCTCATATTCCCCATTTTCCATTATCCTTTGGTTTCTTCCCTTATTATCATTATATCACCGACCAAGCATGGAATGTTCTAGAAACGCTATCTAGCGTAATCCTGTCGTAATCTCTTAAAGCCAATAGCCTCGCGTGGCTATACGCAGGGTGATTCTATTTTCTAGAAGGGTCTATTCCTTTAGATAGGATAAACCTGGTTACTTGATGTACTCTGGAAGTATAAAAGCGCCTTGTACTGATCGATAGTGCAACCTTTCCTCGACACATTCGATCCTGTGACACTTGGTAATCAGAGCTTTTCTCACTCGACCGCGCTCAGCTAAGCAGCAGCAGCGGGGATCCTGCCTCGAAAAACCGCCGGGGGCGACTAATTCGACGCCGATTCTGGTAAGCACCAGCTCCGCGATTTTCGAATTACCCCCTCCGTGCGTGTTTTGAACAGGATGGCAACCTTCGACAACGCCGAGGTTACCCAGCAGCTCTTCGCGCGCATCGCAGCCCTTCAGGAGGAAATGCGAGCGGATCGCGAAGCGTGGCGAAACCAGTTCGAGCGAGTAACTCGACTCGCCGGAGCGCAGCACGAGACGACAACGGCGACGACGCAGCAGTCGCAGCAGTTTCTCGAGGCTCCGAAACCGCGCCCACCTGAGCCGTTCGATCCGAGCGATCGAAACTCCGACGCCCGCAGATGGATCGCCGGGATGGAGATCTACTTCGCAGCCGTCGGATGGAGCTCGCCAGTCTGGGACGGTCAACGCGTACGACTCGCGGCGACACTGATGCGAGGGCCGGCACTCGAGTGGATTGGCGGCAACAGCACCGTCATCCACGGTGAAGCCACGTGGCAGCAGTTCCGCGCCGACCTGCTGAAACGCTTCGAACCGATAAATTCAAGTTTTCTTGCCCGCGAAAAAATTCATCGTCATCGACAGCTCGGGAGTGTATCACAGTACACGCAGCAGATGGAAGAATTTTATAACCGCATTCCCGACCTGACCGAAGGGGAAAAAGTACAATCGTACCTCGCCGGGCTGAAGACCGAAGTCAAACGACAAGTCGCAGCGTCAAACTACGCGAGCTACAGTGACGTCGTTTCGGCCGCGGAGCGCTTCGACATGGTCAACGCCGGAACACGACGGACGCACGTCGGCAGTACGCGACAGGGCGACCGCTCGGCTCACACCACGTTCGCCGACCCGATGGAAGTCGACAGATTCGAGGGGCGGCCACGTCCGAAAAACACCAACTACACGTGTGATTTTTGCGGGGTGCCGGGCCACCGAATCTTCGACTGCAACAAAATGAAGGCCGCACGCGCAGAGTATCGGGCACGCAACAGTGGCGGAAATCTTCCGGCCAATCAGAAGACAAAAAACGGGAGTCGCCAGTGATTGCGGATCTAGCTGGCGAAAATAAAAAGATCCGGAAACGGCCGCGGGATTCCGAGAAAATCAACTTCGACGAAGCTGATTCGACGCGAGCAGGAGGAAATGATGGGGGAAAATCTCCACCCCACGACCAGTCTTCGCCAGGGAAATTCGCCGAGGAAAAATCAGACTCCGCGAAAAAAGACTCTGCCGAGACGGGGAAACTCCTTGAAGACCCAAGAAATTATAAGAATTCGTTAAAGCTATCCTATAAAGATGCTTTAATGAAAACTTATGATTTTCGAGGAGCTAGAGCCTTGGAGAAATTTCGGGAGGGACTCCAAAAGGAGCAGACAGCTGTGGAGATTGTACCGGTACCGGACAACTTGGGGACCAAATTAAGGAGTGTGGAAAGAAGCCAACCTTTCCACGGAGTCAACGTCCTCTCCCGACACCAGCCCACAACGACTACCCGCTCCCCAGGGAAGACGTCGGTGGAGCTGAAGCAGCTCAAGAGGAAGCTGGGGGTCTACAAGAAGCTGCACAAACCCCGAACTCCCTCTACGGATGCATCCAGTTCTTCGGCATCAACGACACGCACAGTCGTCAAGGAAACTCCGGGCCCTGGAGAAGAGCCGTTCTCCAAGCAGCCTCGGCCAGCTGCTAGCTCAGGAGCAGATAGCAACGAAAGGTGTGTACGGATTATTGGGATGTACCCTATGACCCCATTAATGAGACTATCTTTGGGTACTCTGAGCAACGCCCGCCTCTCGTGCTCGAGGTCATCTGCAAAGGACGACGCCTCCAAGCACTCGTGGACAGCGGAGCGTCACACACCGTCTGCGACAAGGCAATAATCGACCGACTTCGAGAAGAGTACAAGCCTTCAAAATTCTCTGCAACGATGGTGGATGGCAGCAAGTTACCAGTACACGGCGAAGCAGTGCTACACCTACAAATTGGACCACTGCGCTGGAGACCTGCACTCCCCATCACCAACATCAAAGGGCTTGACTTGATCTTCGGGCGAGACTTCCTGAAAAAATTCAACCCCGAGATCAACTGGGTGAACCGCACCGCAAGCATCTACAACAATGGACGGAGAGTACAGCTACCCAACTGGGACGATACTGGAGATATCCCAGTGGAGACACTCGCACGATTCGAGAAGGACGTGAAGCGGACCGACACAGGGTTCCTGTTAGGATTAAGGACAGAGTCTAGGTGAACTTAGGAGCTAGAATTACTCAAAATATAAATCCGAAATTCTGGACAGAAAAGTCGTCTTCACAAGAAACGACGTCGACAAAACACTAGCCGTTGGAATGTCGCGAAACTTGGATATGTTGTAGCTCTTGATCTCAGCTACCGTTCCCAATTTGAATCACGTTGATTGATGAAGTATTCGCGACGCTATGGCTTTCGACGCACTAGGGGGTAAGCTGTAGGAGGAGAACTTAACTCAATCTCAAGAGTTCAATCAAAGTTCAAGAATCTCACAAGGAATTAGAAGGAGCAAGAGAAAGGTTGGGATAGAAGAGAGGGATGAGAGGGAAGGTCCCAAGAGAGTCCCCAACCAAGGAAACCCCATAAGCACAAAGATTCCCTCCCTATAGGAACCCCAACTTTGACATTTGTCCCTTCCCAACCAATCCATCCAAGTTGGCCACCCTTGCCAACCTAGCTTGGTTGTTCCCAACCAATTTGCAGCTGTTACAGTAGAGTGACGAATTTCCCCAACCCCAAAGGTCCCAACTCCATATAAAGTCACCCCACAACTTCACTTTGTAACCGCCGCAATTGTAACGCAAGCTCATGAACTTTGAATCTTCATAGCTTTCGCGTTCTTGCTCCGATTGACGCGATTCTTGTTGCGTCGGAAAGATCTTCTCAAGATCTATCATCACAAATACCTGCTCAGACAGAATAACACAAAACACATTCCCAAACTCCAGAACACACACCACACAAATTCTTTCACACACAGTCAAACCATACGTGCGAATTGAAACAAGGGATGGGAGGCAGACAGAATGTGATAACATATGATGACATCACACAACAATCTCCCCCTCTGGCTGCCAACCATCAACCACCATACCAACATCTCAAGCATGCATACTCAATGCACACTCATCCCAGCAAGCTTCATGCCCTTCCAATGATCCGCCTCCGCCAGACGCTTGGTGAAAATATCTGCTGCCTGCTGATGGGTCTTCACTATCTCCAGCCGCACCTCCTTATCAAGGAGTCTCCTCACCCAGTGCCACTTAGGCCTTATGTGTTTTGTCAGCCCATGCAGACAAGCATTCTTGGCGAGCTTCACAGCAGACTCATTGTCACAGAACACAACTGTCGGCTCCTCCTGACCAACTCCCAACTCCTCCAACAAACGCCTTAGCCACACTACTTCCTTGGCCCCATGGTGTAAGGCCATGTACTCAGTCTCACATGAGGACAATCCCACCTCATTCTGCTTCTTGCTGCGCCAGCTCACAGCACCACCTCCTAGCAAGCACACATAACCCCCAATGCTGGTGCCATCCGCTTTCACTGAGTTGAAGCTAGCGTCAGTATAGCAACTCAAGAGCATCTTTCCACTCTTCACATCTGCAGCACCTCTCTGCAACCGCTGCCTCACTCCACTGTACTCCAATCCCACTGATGCCGTAGCACTCACATAGCGGACCAACCTCTTGGCCGCTTCCAGCTGCTCATGACTAGGGCGTGAGACCACACTAGCCAACCGTGATGTAGAAAATGCAATGTCAGGCCGTGTATGATTTGCAGCATAATTCAGCGACCCAACCATCGAATGAAACAGCTTCCTGTCACTCTCACCCACTACCTCCTCATCAGCACATGGCTCCACAGTAAACCCTGAAGGTAGTGGTGTTGCTGGCTTTCCCCCATCTTGCAGCCCATACTTCTCAGCCAGCCCCTCACAGTACTTCCTCTGGTGCAACCTCAGCACACCCTTCTCCACATCTCTCTCCACATGCATCCCCAAGTAGTACTTCACCTCACCCATCTTGGAGCACTTGAACTGCATCTCCAGCATCTGCTCTGCGCTGTCCAGCAAAGCAGTGGATGCAGAAAAGAGAAGGATATCATCCATATACACCAAGAGCATGAGGATTTCGTCCTTCTCCTGCAGCAGGAACAGGCTGGGGTCACACTCACTCTTCTTGAAACCCCCAGCCACCAGCGCCTCCTCCAACTTGTGATACCATGCACGAGGCGCCTGCTTAAGGCCATAGATTGCCTTCTTCAGCCTGCAGACCCTGCCGCTCCCATCATCCAGCCCCTCTGGCTGCTTCATGTACACCTCCTCCAGAATGATCCCATTCAGAAAGGCAGTCACAATGTCCATCTGCCGTATCTTCCATCCCAGGAGTGCAGCTATCGCCAACAGCACCCTCAGTGTTGTTCCTTTCCCCACAGGAGCAAATACCTCATCATAGTCCTTCCCCTTTGTCTGCTGAAACCCCCGTGCCACAAGCCTAGACTTGTAGCGGGTCAGCTCCCCTTCAGGTCCATACTTGTGCCTGTAGATCATCTTGGAAGTGATTGCCTTCTTTCCAGGAGGCAAGTCACACAGGTCCCATGTCTCGTTCTCAATTAGGGACCCGAACTCCTCATCCTCACTCGCCTTCCACTTCTCCCCATTTGGTCCATTCAAGGCCTCCTCTCGAGTCTTGGGCTCAGGGATTGGTGCCCAGTAGCAGTGAGCGATCTCATCTTCCTCAATCTGCTCAACCACACTCCCAGCCTGCACCACATTTGGCTTGCCTCTTCCCCCATAGGTCAGCCTCACAGGAGGGCGCACATCCCTCCTAGGTCGCTCAGGCGGGTGTGGAACTCGAGGTGGAGACTCATGTTGCTGTTGCTGCTCCACTACTTCAGCTGCTCCCCCTTCCTCAGTCACCCCAGACATCTCCTCCTCTGACACTGCAACCTCCACCTGTCTTGAAGGCTGCTGCACCTCATCTGCCTCCACAATGAGCGGTGTAGATGGAAGCTTCTGTTGCTGCTGCTTCCATTCCTTGTAGTACAGGGACTCAAGAAACTTCACATCCCTTGACACTGTCAGCTTCTGGGTGGTCAAGTCCCATAGCAGCCATCCCTTGTGATCCTTTGCAATCCCCAAGTGCACACCCCATCTTCCAGAAGCCTCCAACTTCCCTCTTTTCTCCTTAGGCACATGAAACACTACCATGCACCCAAATGCCCTCAGCATGTTCACAGCTGGAGCACTCCCATACCACTTGATATATGGGATCCACTCCTTATCTCCAACTGTAGCCAGCACCCTGTTCTTCACAAGGGCGACCTGCCTCAGTGCAGACACCCAAAACGGATCAGGTAGCCCTGCACGCCCAAGGAGAGTGCGTGCCCCCTCCTGCAGGGTCCTGTTGAACCTCTCAGCCACGCCATTCTGCTGCGGATTGTAGGGCACTGTCAGTTGATGCTGGATCCCCTTCCTCTTCAACTCCCCCTCAAAATCAGCTCCAATGAACTCCCCACCATTGTCACTGCGGATCACCTTCACCTTGTGTCCGCATTCCCTCTGAGCTCTAGGCATCCACTCCTTAAGGACAGCCGCTGCCACCTCCCCCTTGCTGTTCAAAGGGTAAACCCACACTGCCCGAGTGTGGTCATCCACAATTGTCAAGAAATAGCGGCTGCCTGAGAGGGAAGGGGCTCTTGTGGGCCCCACCACATCCATGTGCACAAGTGCAAGTGGGGTCTTGGCTGGTCCTGTTGCACTGTTGAAGGGGAACTTGGAGAACTTGGTCTCCAAGCATGTAGGGCAGCTCCCAATCTCCTTCACTTCCCCTTTCACCTCCAAGCCCTTCAGGCTCCCATTCTTCACCAACTTCTGCAGCATAGGGAAGTTCACATGACACAACCTCTCATGCCATGTCTCCCAATCGGCCTCTCCACTCCTTGATGAAGCCTTAGCCCATGCCGCACTCGCATCCACACCAGCAAGCACCTCACCATGTGTCTGCTGCTTCTGCACTTTCTTGACTGCTTCCAGGACCCCATCAGTTGGTGCAGTTGCATCTCCTCCTGCTGTTGCCTTTGCCGCTGCTGCCGTTGCTGCTGTTGGAGTCTTCCCATTCCAAGGGATGATGGGCAGCTGCCACAGGTCCTTGATGCAGCTGGTCTCCTCTTCCAGACTCCACAGCACCTTCTTCCCAAGCTTAGCACGGCAGCTGGTTGGTCCAAAGGTCACTTCGGCCTTACTCTTCTGCAGTCGCCGCACAGAGAGAAGGTTAGCAGACAAGCCTTTAACCAGCAGAACATTCCCAAGCCCCACAAGCTCCCCATTAGCTCCCTTAACCTTGGCATTCCCAACACCAATAACGGGGAGCAAAGCACCTGACGCTGCTGCCACATACTTGATCTTCCCAGGGGGTTTTACCTCATCAAGCAAATCTGCCCGTGGGGTCATGTGACTGGTGCAACCCGAATCAATCACCCAGTGCGTGAGAGGGTGCATCACAACCTTTCCGACAGATCCCACATCACCCTCATGCCCATGCACATCCTCAACCATGAGATACATCCCAGGATAGGCGTTACCTTGTGCACCTTCATCTTGCACAGCGCCACCTTGTGCGCGTTCACCACTTGGCGGCTTCATGCCTGGAGGTGCCCATCCCTCCGGCCTGCTGAAGCACTTGAACCAAGGATGCCCGACCTTCTTGCAGTACCAGCAGGTGCCCTCCATTCTGGTACTCCCCCTGCCACTGGAGCTCCCATGCCCCTCATTATAGTCACCTCGGCCTCTACCTCTGCCAAAGCTCCTCCCACGGCCTCGGCCTCTCCAACCCCCTCTTCCTCTGCCGCGCCCTGCAGCTCCATACCCCTCAGCAGTCTTAGTGGCAGCACCGCCTCCCACATGGCGTCTGCGGAAGTCCTCCTGCAGAATCTGCTGCCTTAGCCACTCAGGTGTCCATTGATCTTGCTGAGAGTTGAGGGTGGGGATGAGGTTGTCCCAAGAGTTGTCCAACACCGAGATGATCTTGGTGCACTGCTGCAGCTGAGATACACTGCTGCCCGCTGCTGCCATCCTTGCATAGGTGTCCTTGATCTTGTCAAGGACCGGCTTCACATCGTCCCCTGGTCGCATGGAGATGGCAGCAAGTTCCTTCTCGAGCACGATCACCATCAGGAGAGTGTTGGGCTGAATCACATCGCGTAGTAGTTTCCACGCCCTTGGACCCGAATCATCCGCTTCCACAAGATCCTTGATGTGCTCGAACATCTCCTTGTTGACCGATTGAAGGATGAGGTCGAAAAGCACCGTGCTTTTCTCAATCCACCGTTCACGTGCTTCGCCTTCTTCCGGCATCTTCTCTTCCCCAACAGCAATCTTCAGTAGCTTGTAGCGTTTGAAGGCACTCCTCATCCGTCCGCTCCATTCCTCATAGTTGGAGCCATCCAAAGCTTCAACTTTTGATGGCGGCGGCTCACTTGTCTTCTCAGGTACAGCTCCTCTTCCATTAGCATCTCCTCCTCTCTCATTCATCTTCTCCTTGAGAAATGACGAATTTCAGCTCCCCTTTGCTGTCCACACTCAGCTCCCTCGATATTTTCACAAGTGTCGGCGTCCACGAAATTTCGGCAGAGTTTCCCCTTAGCGGAAGACACATCCAACCTTTAGAACACCACTTAGGCACACCCACAGGCCATGGTGGGTCTAGAAGGGTCTTCAAACTTCTGTAGACTCCTCTCAATGTCCTTAATATTGCTCTGATACCACTTGTTAGGATTAAGGACAGAGTCTAGGTGAACTTAGGAGCTAGAATTACTCAAAATATAAATCCGAAATTCTGGACAGAAAAGTCGTCTTCACAAGAAACGACGTCGACAAAACACTAGCCGTTGGAATGTCGCGAAACTTGGATATGTTGTAGCTCTTGATCTCAGCTACCGTTCCCAATTTGAATCACGTTGATTGATGAAGTATTCGCGACGCTATGGCTTTCGACGCACTAGGGGGTAAGCTGTAGGAGGAGAACTTAACTCAATCTCAAGAGTTCAATCAAAGTTCAAGAATCTCACAAGGAATTAGAAGGAGCAAGAGAAAGGTTGGGATAGAAGAGAGGGATGAGAGGGAAGGTCCCAAGAGAGTCCCCAACCAAGGAAACCCCATAAGCACAAAGATTCCCTCCCTATAGGAACCCCAACTTTGACATTTGTCCCTTCCCAACCAATCCATCCAAGTTGGCCACCCTTGCCAACCTAGCTTGGTTGTTCCCAACCAATTTGCAGCTGTTACAGTAGAGTGACGAATTTCCCCAACCCCAAAGGTCCCAACTCCATATAAAGTCACCCCACAACTTCACTTTGTAACCGCCGCAATTGTAACGCAAGCTCATGAACTTTGAATCTTCATAGCTTTCGCGTTCTTGCTCCGATTGACGCGATTCTTGTTGCGTCGGAAAGATCTTCTCAAGATCTATCATCACAAATACCTGCTCAGACAGAATAACACAAAACACATTCCCAAACTCCAGAACACACACCACACAAATTCTTTCACACACAGTCAAACCATACGTGCGAATTGAAACAAGGGATGGGAGGCAGACAGAATGTGAGAACATATGATGACATCACACAACAGTTCCTGGCAATAGCAACAGAGGTGGAGAATGACGGAGAGAAAGCCTCGGAAACTCCAGAAAAAATCAAGGAATTACTGAAGGAGTTCCAAGACATTCTTCCTGACGATCTTCCGAACGAGCTACCGCCATACCGAACGCATCAACACGAGATCGTGGAGGAACCGGGTTCGAAGCCGACCTTCCGAGCACCATATCGGCTCAGCCCTACGGAGCTGACTGACATGAAAAAACAGATCGAGTATCTTCTAGCCAAAGGACTCATCCGCCCATCTACTTCACCGTACGGTGCCCCAGTACTCTTCACACCGAAACCGGACGGAAGCCTGCGCATGTGCATCGACTACCGAGCTCTTAACAAGCAGACCATCAAGAATAAATATCCGATACCGCGAATCGATGACCTGCTTGACCAGCTTCGGGGAGCTACGGTATTTTCCAAACTGGATCTGCGGTCCGGATACTGGCAGATACGGATGGCGGACAACTCTATCCACAAAACTGCTTTCCGAACTCGGTACGGATCGTACGAGTATTTGGTCATGCCGTTCGGACTCACTGACGCACCGGCAACGTTCCAAGCCGAAATGAACCACATTCTACGACCACTTCTGGACGAATGCGTGGTGGTGTACCTGGACGACATACTCATCTACTCACGCGACATGAAGCAGCACGTCGAACACCTGCGACGCGTCTTCGAAATTCTTCGACGGGAACGATTCTACGTCAAACTGTCCAAGAGCGAATTCGCCCTGGAGAAGGTCCAATTTCTAGGACACATGGTGAGCGCTCAAGGAGTTCACGTCGACCCCAAGAAAATCGAAGCCGTACGTACGTGGAAGACACCCGAGAACGTGAAGGAGTTGCAGCAGTTCCTAGGCTTCGCTAATTACTACAACAGGTTCGTGCCACAGTATGCAAAACTCGCGGCACCACTCACGAATCTGCTGAAGAAGAACACGCCCTACAAATGGGAACCAAAGCACCAGGAAGCCGTGGAGCAGCTGAAACAAGCACTCACATCCGCACCGGTGCTCATCCTGCCAGATCCCGAACGTGACTACGTCATCGAAGCAGACGCCAGTGATCAGGCTGTCGGAGCAGTCTTGATGCAAGACCAAGGGAATGGACTGCAACCCATTGCCTACCTCAGCAAGAAACTGCACGGGGCAGAACTCAACTACCCGATACACGACAAAGAGGCTCTTGCTATCATCATCGCCTTCAAAGCGTGGAGATGCTATCTCGAAGGACGAAGAACAACCGTCTACACCGACCACTGCAGCCTGAAATATTTGAAGACACAACCCAACCTTTCCAGGCGGCAGGTCCGGTGGATCGACTTCCTCGAGACACACTTCCACTACGACATCGTGTACAAGCCCGGCCACAAGAACAAAGCAGACGCGCTCAGCCGGCCTGCACACGTTGCCGCGATTCAGGTCGAAGGGATGAATCCACTACTCAAGGGACTCTTCACCCACGGGTACGCCATCGACCCCGAAATTCCCTTGGCAGAAAAGCGACATCTGCTACAGTGGGACAGTGACATCGCGTATCGGAAGGGATCCACAAAAATCTGGGTACCCAATTACCCTCCTTTGCGCCAGTTACTACTCGAAGAATACCACGACGTCCTCTACGCCGGACACTTCGGTAGCAACAAGACGCTGACCGGTATCGCCAAACACTACTACTGGCCCCATATGGCAGACGACGTCCAGAAATTCGTCACCTCGTGTGATACATGTCAGCGGATGAAGAGCAGCAAGCAGAAAAAGGCGGGACTACTGCAGCCTCTTCCTGTCCCAGAACAACCATGGCAAGTGGTTAGCCTGGACTTCATCACCGGGTTACCACCTACCTCCAGCGGTCATGACGCCATCCTTGTCGTCATTGACAAGTTCTCCAAAATGGGACACTTCATCCCGACACACACGACGGCACGCACCGAGGAGACAGCACAGCTCTTCGTTCGTCACATCATCTCACAGCATGGCATCCCAACTACACTCATCTCCGACCGAGACCCCAAGTTCACTAGCAAGTTCTGGAAGGAACTTATGTCTCTGCTCGGCACCAAACTCGCCATGTCATCCGCATACCATCCGCAGACAGACGGACAGACCGAGCGCCTCAACCAAATTGTTGAGCAACTCCTCCGAGCAGCCTGCAAGGACGACATCTCCAAATGGGACTTGCACCTGCCCGTTCTCGAGTTTGCTTACAACAACGCTACACACGCCGCTACGGGACAGACGCCGTTCTTCCTCTGCTACGGACGCCACCCACTCACACCACAGAAACCGACAACACCAGCAACAGTCCAACCTGCACACGACTTCATCACAACCATGCATCAGCTTTGGGATCGGACCCATAAGCGCCTCCTTGACATTCAACAGCAACAGAAGCGCCAGGCCGATCGCCATCGCAACGACCACACCATTTCCGTGGGAGACCAGGTTCTCCTTGACACCCGCAACCTGGACATCAGCCATCTCCCATCTAAACTTCGACCTCGCTTCTGCGGGCCTTTTCTCGTTGACGCACAGGTCACTCCTGTTACCTTCCGCTTACGCCTACCAGCTACCTGGAAGATTCACAACGCCTTCCATGTCCAACTTCTGAAGCCCTATCGAGATCCTAATACGATCTTCGTCGGACGCCAACCGCCGCCGCCGCCACCCGTCCTCGTCCAAAATGAACCCGAGTACGAGGTCGAGTCCGTGCTTGCACACCGCCGTCGTCGGAATGGCACCGTGGAGCTTCGTATTCGTTGGAAGGGCTATGATCCTTCTGAGGACAGCTGGGTCTCTGAGACCGACATGGGTAACGCCCGTCGTCCTCTGCATGACTACCTTGTCAAGCAGGGTGTTACTTCTACCACCCAGCTTTGAGGGGGGGAAGTGTGAGAGTACGACTCCGTTACACCACTTGGCCTTTTCCATATTTCATCTTCATTTCATTCCTCTTTTTATCTCATCTCCTTTTGCCTCATATTCCCCATTTTCCATTATCCTTTGGTTTCTTCCCTTATTATCATTATATTACCGACCAAGCATGGAATGTTCTAGAAACGCTATCTAGCGTAATCCTGTCGTAATCTCTTAAAGCCAATAGCCTCGCGTGGCTATACGCAGGGTGATTCTATTTTCTAGAAGGGTCTATTCCTTTAGATAGGATAAACCTGGTTACTTGATGTACTCTGGAAGTATAAAAGCGCCTTGTACTGATCGATAGTGCAACCTTTCCTCGACACATTCGATCCTGTGACAGCCAGCGCCCGCATCGGCTGTCACGCCCTTCCCGCTGATCTTAGCCGTCGACCCGACACCGACCTTGGCCGCAATTCCTCCCACATTCGCGGCGAGATCAACCGCAGCATTGCCACTGATTTCTTTTTTGCTGATTCCTCCCCCTGCCTTGATCTTCGTCGACGTTCCCATGCCTGCCACGTCACCTTTTCCCTCGACCGAGCTGTCCGCCTTGATCCCGCTCTTCGT